AAAAAAAGAGTTAAAAGATAAATAAACAGGCATTAGGTCAATAATTTTTTTTGCAGAAAGCATTTGATAGTAATAATTCACTCATTATACCTCATTAGTGAAAGAGAATACAGATAAAATCGCAGGTTAATAGCTTGACTACTAAGGATTTTTAATTTATAACCATGAAAATGTCATATTTTATCACTTCATTCCGTGCGAATACTCAAGTACGCAATAAATATACGGAGACATAGAAGGAATTCCAGTTATTACGTATCAATGTTAATGCAGAGATAAATCGATAAATTGATAAACACTGGAGATATTTTCTTATCAACATTGAAGTGGAAATGAACCATTCATAACGATTGAATAATTACCTGAGGATAGATATCAATAAGGAAGAACTACTTCAAACGTGTTGTAAAATTTTCTCACTTCGTTGATCATAAAATCTGAAAGATAACGCATACGCCGATACGAGTACTTTTACGTTATGAAATATTTAAAAAATTTGAATACTAATATTGAAGTGAGATAACGATGGAGATTGTAGAAAATGGAAATTAATTTTTTGATAAAAATTGCAATAAATTGATACGCGTGAAAAAAATCCAAGAGAAATTTTTCACATTCATGAATTCTTGTCGTGGCTATCATCTCATTGCATGGATATATAAGAAAGATTTTCCAAAAAATTCATATTCAGGACCTCTCTAGATTATTGGAATGAGGAAAGAATTACAATAAACAAAAGTAGAATATGTAATGAAAGAGCAATTCACCACTTATTTCTTATGATTGCATTCGCTGGAGAATTAACAAGACTGGATTCATTAAAAGTTGATAGCAATGTTCTAATGAATTTTGTTTTCTCTAATTTCAGTACGAATATGTACCTGCAAAAATCATCACTGAGTAGGATGTGCGCTGTCGGTGGATTCTTCGTCAGCATTCCAGTATTCCTCACCGGTGAGATTCATCATTATTTTTCTTTTCAATCTTATTTCTTGCTACTCGTTTCATTCCAACCTTTTGTTCCATCCTGTGTTCAACTAGTCAACCCTCACATTTCCTCGAAAAAACCCAAGATATTTCAGAATGTTATACGAGTATTATTCTGTTGCAGGTATGATACTCTACACATTTATTCAATTTCACTCGACGCCAGCGATAGTCATGTCTGTTTTTATTGGCCTTGGAATTGTCTTCTGTGGTTGCGCTATGGTACACAATGTCTTTGTGTGGCAAAGAGTAGGTTGTTCATGTGTTCATTAATTAATTTTTAATTATCTTCCCACATTGAGTCTTGACTTGAATTAAATGAGAAGTCAATTGAAATCAGCAGGTTCTTAAATAAAATTCGTTGTGTTATTTCAAGCTTCTGTTAATTTTCATAATTAACCGCATTATCAACGTAGAGACAGTGAAATGGGGAAAAATCTCGTAATAATAATTTTATTCCTCCCCAGGAGAAGACAAACGCCATGAAAGCGCTAGCAAGGGCGCAGTGCGAAGCAGCAGCGCAGCTGCAACGTCAACAGCAGATGCAGCACACGCAGCTACATGTCTCCAGCCCGCGTGGCACCTCCACCATTCCACGTGGAAATTGTACAACAATGAAACACAATTCAACTCTGCCACATCATTCTCGAGGATCTCATACCCAACCTCAGGTGCATCAGCAGTCCCACGATATTCTGAGACATGCCCAGATGTCTCCAGCACTGCTGACCCTCTCAGCAAGTCCAGCAGCTCACAATCACTCGAGTATAGATGTTCACAGGGTACCAGTGAGTCCTCCAACAACACCCGCTGGTGACAGAACCCCAACAAGTCCTGTCAACAAATCCCACAATCGTTCCCAGCATCAGATGCGTGAGGCCAGTGGTAGTGTCAGTCCTGGAATGCCAACTGCCACTCTGGATCTCAGCAGTGCTGCTAATACTAATAGTCCTCATGAGCTCTCCACTCTCGTGTAATTATCAACATTTCTGCATTTCTCATAGTGGTAAAAAGAGATTATTCCAATTTTAAATTTTTGGTGGGTATCAATGTATCTCGAAATATATTAACTTGAGGGGGAAACAGAAGACTTGTGGTCGGATTAATTTAATCAGCTACCAAAAAGTTATTTCGAGTTTCCCTCCTGAATCGATAGATTTTGTGAGATATTTTCGGAGTTAAAAATTCTTTCAAAATGCCAATATCTCATCTTACCACTTCCTTACTGAATTCGCCCTGCGTATTCTTTGAACTAACTTGCCATTTTGTCTCTACATTTTTTTTTTCGAAACTGCAGAACGTCTAGTCCAGATTGAGAGATCATTTTTTGCATTTACAGACCACTGAATAGCGATTTTACTTCGTTTTATTTTATCATTCCACGTACAAAATCAAAATCTATCAACTCTTTTCCTATCAATCACTGATCTGTTGATCGATTCATTTAACAATTAAATGGGAAACTGATTTTTTTGAAAAT